GTGTCAATGGCACCGGCGGTTACAATCTTGCCTTCTGCGGCCAGCACTTCTGTGCAAGTTCCGCAAATCATTCCTGGCGTGACTCCGTCCATGTTATCTGGATTTCCTGCTTTACCGATTCCAACAATCATTCCACCTTTGATTCCAATATCGGCCTAAAAGAGAAATTCATTCATATTCATAAAGTCTCATGCAAGTATTCATACCTTGTAAATTCCTGTGTAATCGACGATGATTGCATTGGTCAACACCAGATCCAACGAATCTGCCTCTCCAATGGCTTGCTGACCCATACCATCACGCGCGACTTTATAATTTTAAATAAAGTTATTGTTTCAAAGTAAAGCACGATTCACGTACCTTTTCCACCACCAAACACCAGTTCATCACCATAAGAAGTAAAATCCTTCTCAATCTCCAACTCCAACATTGTATCCGCCAATCGCACTCGATCACCAGTGGTTGGACCGTAAGCATCGGCGTATCTTTGTCGTGACATTTTGTATGGCTGCGGAGTCTCCAATGACACCGTCTGACTTTTATGTTGGAACCCATTCTTTGTAATTTTGTCCAGGATATTTGGTGGATGGTTCGATATAGGACCAGATGCTAATCCGTTTCCACCGGCTATAATTTGTTTTCCTCCGATTGTTGTTAATGAAACGGTCTTTGTTTCCCCTTGAAATATATGATGAACGATTGATCAATACATTTTAGAGTAGTATTAATTCGAAGTTACCAGGTTCAAACCGGACTGCTGTACCGGCGGGGATATCTAATCGTTTTCCGTATGATAAAAGACGGTCAAACATGAGCATCGGGTTTGCTTCGATAAAGTGATAATGTGATCCAATCTTGGATTGAATATTTAATTTTCGCGAAATTAAAAGTAGTTGATGGTATATATGCGTACCTGTACTGGTCGATCTCCATTGTTTGTAACCTGCAACGCAGTTCTTGGTCTTCCTGGACAAAGCACGATTTCTCCTGATTGCACCGTGACGGATCCTATCCCGCAAAAAACAATTCAAATTTCTCATAAATACAACCAAGATATCAAATCGTTCAAAATACCTGGTTCGACATCAACTAACGGGTCGATCTCAATCAACGGAAACACGTCATTAGATGGAATTGGCAAGAAAGATCCATACAACGCAACAGATAGATCTCCATCATCAGTTGAAATTGGTTCATGAACTGTAATTAATTTCGTTCCATCAGGGAAACCACCCTCAACCTGCACTTCCAAAACGGTATGAATCGCTGCCGGAAGTAAATGTCTTCTTCCCAACATTCTTCTTCCGAGATCCATTAGCTGAGCAACACTATGTTTTCCATCTCGAGCATACTAATGATTACATTAATCAATGAGAAACTCGAAACGATCTCGAATGAAAAACTTTGAAAACAAAAACCTCGAGCAGTTGGGAAGCAATTAAAGCAGTTGCTTCGGCGTGGTTTAGTCGAACACCACGAGCCAAACGCTTCTGCGCCAAAAACCCGGCTTGATGAAGAACTAATTTGTCGATTTCCCGCGGAACAAGTTTCATTTCGATTTATCCAAGATAACGATTTTGACGGTCACACAGAATAAACCCGGTCCAGCTAAATCGCGTTGGATCCTTAACTCTTATGCAATTTAAGATCATCGAGTAATTTCATGCGTGAATTCATGCATTCAGTTGCTGCTTCTGTTGTGAAACGAGTAACTAATTTAAATAAACACACAGCCTTTCGAATTCCACCGATATATCAGCTTGAATTTAGACAAGTTTTTCGGCAGTTTTCAGGATTCAGTCTGAATACAGGAGCTGATGTGAACTGAAGGAGGATTTATTGCTGATTATGCAGTGGAAAACATGATCGATCTATTCTGCAAAAGATGCACTGGTGTAAGAGTAAGCATTTATTCTAAGATTTCTGATCGGATGTACCATAAGTAAATATAAAGGTTAGAATATCAGTAATTTTACGGTAATCCTCGTGACGCAATTGGGCGTCGGAGTAAATTGTCAAAAACCAAACACTCCCGTCACCAAAAATTCTTTTTCCGAAAATACAACGACGAGACTAAACAGAAAATAAACTATATAACACTTTATAACGCTTTATAGTTTATTTTTCTCCCCACAATGTTCTCGTCGATAACTTTCCGTTCAAAACAAATTCTCGCCAATCACCGCTTAGTAACCTGCGCGACGTGTACTCTCCCACTCGCCCCACTCCGATCTACCTCTTTATCTCTATGTCGTCTCCACCATACACAGCAGCGCCCACACAACCTCCTTTCACAATCCTTTTCACCTCTCCCGAATTTAAATCGGAATGCAATAATCTCCATACTGAATAGTAGCCATGCACGATTGATGTCGTCTTCGAATAAAGATTCCGATCCGCTGAAAAAGAAAGACGGTGATGTTCCGAAAGGCTTTGAAAACTTCTTGAAAATTGAGATTAAGACGGTTAAATCTAAAGATGAAGGGAAGGATGCAGAGAAGAGTGATAATAACGATGATAAGAAGAGTAGTAAGAAGAATGAGGACGAAGATGAATTTAAGGATGATAAAGATGACGATGATAAGAAAAGTAATTATAAAATTTACTATTTTCCTTTTTCCGTGATTGTTTATTTTATTCGTTATTGACTCTTCTTAAATTTTGATTTATAGAAAAAGACGATAAGAAAGATTCGAAACAACAACAAGCGGAAGAACCAACAATTGAAATCTTTTCCCGAAAATTCCGTCTCAGCGAAGTAGTTCTCATTGTGCTCCCAATCATCTATTTCCTCTACTCCTCCAACAACAGCACACAGAAACGTACAATCACATGGCAAGAATTCAAAACCAACTTTTTGGAAAAGGGGTTAGTTCAATCGCTGCAAGTACGGAATAAGAGTGTGGTGCGGGCGTTTTTGCGATCGGATGCGCCGAGACCTGTCGATTCTACCGGTTCCGCAGCGTCCTCTGTATCTGCGCCGTATTACGAATTTTCGATCGGAAGTATTGAGTTGTTTGAACACAATTTGGAGATGGCACAAAATCAGCTCAAGATTCCGTCGTCGGAACGTATTCCTGTCAGCTACGTAGACGAAATCAGTACAACTGCGCTGTTTTTCAATTTTGCACCGACGCTGTTGCTCGTCGGATTGTTATACTGGATGTCACGGAGAGTTGGAAATGGTGCCGCGGGAGGCGGGCCGGGACAAGGAATCTTTGGAATTGGGAAATCTCGGGCTCGACTCTATAACCAGGAAACCGACGTGAAGGTTCGGTTTAAGGATGTTGCCGGAATGGACGAAGCCAAAGAAGAGATTATGGAATTTGTGAAATTCTTGAAAGATCCAGCATCTTATGAACGTCTCGGAGCCAAGATCCCCAAAGGAGCCATATTATCAGGTCCACCTGGAACGGGAAAGACACTCATGGCGAAAGCAACAGCCGGGGAAGCGGGTGTTCCATTCTTGAGCGTATCAGGATCAGAGTTTGTCGAAATGTTTGTTGGAGTCGGATCATCACGAGTACGAGATTTATTCCAAAACGCTAAAAAGATGGCACCTTGTATTATTTTTATTGACGAAATTGATGCAATCGGAAAAGCGCGAGGTCGAGGAGGTTTTGCTGGTGGAAATGACGAGCGAGAGAGTACGCTGAATCAGCTGCTTGTAGAAATGGACGGGTTTGGTTCATCTGAACACGTAGTAGTTTTGGCCGGAACGAATAGACCAGATGTACTTGATCCAGCCTTGTTACGACCAGGACGTTTCGATCGACACATTACCATTGACAGACCTGATATCAGAGGGCGAGTGGATTTATTCAAAGTACATTTGAAACCAATAAAGATAGATCCGGAAGTTGATTTGGAGAATTTGGCGAAACGGTTGGCAGCATTGACACCAGGTTTTTCTGGAGCGGATATTGCCAACGTATGTAACGAAGCAGCGTTGATTGCGGCGCGAACGGTATCAGATGTAGTGAACGGAAAACATTTCGAGCAAGCGATTGAACGGGTCATTGCTGGTTTGGAAAGAAAATCCCGAGTGTTGGCACCAGAAGAGAAGACGATTGTTGCACACCATGAAGCCGGGCATGCCGTTGCTGGATGGTATCTCAAGTACGCACACCCTCTGTTGAAGGTATCGATCATTCCACGTGGAGTCGCGGCGTTGGGTTACGCACAGTATTTGCCTCAAGAAAACTATCTGCATTCTACGGATCAAATACTGGACCAAATGTGCATGACTTTAGGAGGACGGGTAGCAGAAGAATTATTCTTCGATTCAATAACCACGGGTGCGTCGGATGATTTGCAAAAAGTGACAAAGATGGCGTATGCGCAAGTAACCACTTACGGAATGAGTAAGGCAATTGGAAACATATCGTATGGACGACAAGATGATAAGGAATCGTTTACGAAGCCATATAGCGAGGAAACAGGCAGGATGATTGATGAAGAGGTGCGACGGATAATTAAGGAGGCGTATGAGAAAACGGTAAAGCTGTTAACGGAAAAGAAAGGGGATATCGAGAAAGTTGCAAAGTTGTTATTGGAGAAGGAGGTAATTGGACGAGAAGATATGGAGACTTTATTGGGTGCAAGGTAAGAAAAAAAGTGTTTAGTGTTTTTATCATTCAATTCACTGATGTTGTTTTCAATAGACAACACCCAGAAACTGGAACGGGAATTGAGTTTTTAAGGGATAAAAAAGACTTTGGAAATTGAACCCTTAAAATCTAATTAAAAAATAAATTCTTTTGCAATTATGCAGTGACGGCAAGATTTGTTAAATTGATTTGGCCGCATAGCGAGATCTTGAATGGTACGAACTTGAACATCATGCTAACCTGTCAAGAACTAAAATGGTACACTTCGCAAAAGTTGCTGAACAATCGCAAAAAAAACTTGCTTGGCACCCCGTCCTAAATGTCAAAAAAAAAAAGCAGAATATCGATATGGAAGCAAAACTAAAGTAATAAAAAAAAGTCGAAAACGAAGGGCTCAACCGGGAATTGAACCCGGGACCTCTCCTACCCTAAAGGAGAATCATACTACTAGACCATTGAGCCGT